CCTTGCGATACACATTATCCAAAAAAAAGGAGACACTACAGAAAATAATATCTCAAACCCGAAGTTGACTATCATTCTTCTGACGGTTTCTGTTTATTTCTGTTTGTTCGGTTTTGTGTGTGTGTGCTTTCTTTTTTTTTTAAGCAGGTGCTTTTCAACATGATCGACACAATTTAGACAATTAAGGAGGTATGCTACGACCCTGTCTGCCTCGGGACTCCTGAGGGCATGCCCCCTAACCGCTACACTACAGACGCCGGTATTCTTGTGAGCGGCAGGCCAACAGCCTGAAACTTGTCCTACTGAAACCTTCCCAGATTTCGTACGATTTTCGCAGTGCGATCCGCTTAATAAATGCGATTGCTGGAAGATTTGAAGTACTGACTTGACATGCAATGACTCTGGTATCGAAGTCCGTTCTGAAGGGAATCGAGATATGTCCGCAAAGAACACTTCACTAAACAGTGCACGTTCAAGAAGTTCCCTCTGGGAATTCGAACCAGGGCTATGGACAGGCCAGTACACTCTTGTAACAACTGAGCTATTGACGTTTTCCACTCTGTCTCAACGTTTTATCAGAACCAACAATCCTTGACTAAATTTCAATCTCTCTCTCTCTCTCTCTCTCTCTCTCTCTCTCTCTCTCTCTCTCTCTCTCTCTCTCCTCCCTCTCTCTCGCTCTCCCTCTCTCTTGCTCTCCTCTCTCACGTCCACCAGCTCTCCTTCCCCCTCCCACTCTCTGTCTCTGTGGTGGTTTGAGAGTACCACTGGTTTGTCTTTCTAAACCCCCCTCTCTCTCTTTTTACGACAGTTAATATTCTCTCTCACTTCCTTTTGTGTCAACAAAATATTTGTTTCTGTACAGATCTGAACATGTTTCTACGAAGAGAATGATTACCTTTTTTGGGTGAAGCTAATTTTCCTCTTGTTGTTTGTACTACTGTACTTTTCTGACTGTATTTCTGTGTACACAGAAGTGTTCCTACACTGGAAACTCACAATCCTAGATTTAGTTTCTGGCTGTAGAAGTGGAAAGAGTGATATCATATTTGGCATAATATATATATGACAATCATATTTTCCCTGTTTACCTTTCTGCCAATGGAAATGGGGCAACTGGCAGGATCAGAATATACACGTACTGGACGTGTGCATCTAACAAGCCACAATGCTACCCCCACCTCCCCCCTCCCCCTCCTCCCCCTCCTCCCCCATGCCATACATATACCCCAAGTACTCAGATGAGAGAAGATTTGAGAGGATACAAAAACTAGAAAATGTGTCACACCGAGGCGGAATTAGGCGCTCGTGAATGTTTTCTAGTAGAAACCACACAGAAA